ATAAGATTGTTTGTTTTGATTTGTTATTACTGATATTTATATTTCTCAATTTAATTATACTAACGCATTTGCTGAATCTTATAACAAATATATCTTGAGCAATAATTCCACATATAAAGCTATTTCGAAAAAACTGAATTTCTGGTTATTGATTGGGCACTACTAAGTATTTAAGGTAAATATTACACTTTCGATATTATCATGAGCTATTAAAATAAATCAAGCGTCCAATAGAAATAATTTATTTTGAATTTCTAATGATAGAACAGAGTTCCGAGTAGCAGTCAAAATTCACATGTGATACGTTAATAGCGATGAATTATTGTAGGTGCATGTGAAATTGCTTCGCACTCTCCACTTGTCCTTTTTGGCCTGTAAAGTCAGGAAAATGAAGTAAGAAGGACAGATGAAATCGATTATAGCACCAAACAATGCTACTTATCGATGAGCCCGGTTACATCGCACTGATTTCCACGTACTGATCGCGTTTAGATGCGGGATACATCGATCACCTACGTATTATATCGACAAAATAAAAAAAAAAAAAGAATGTTCGACTACCAGATAGAGATAGCCACTTGGGCAACCTTATCTTTAATGACTCGTCGATAACGTAACCCCGAGTGATATGGAATTATATCGAGGCCCGAAAGTACAATAACGAATTGTCTATATTAAGGGAAGAGTAGAGCGAAGCAGAAACATTTTTTATTAACGAATATTTTTTAACGATATCATTTTTCACTGCTACTTATTAAATTTATAATAGTAATTTTAGCGATACTTTTTATTATAATGTTAATCTATTGTCTGTCGGATAAATGATTTATGTTTTATCGTTGTTATATTATTGTTCTTTATGTAATAGCACTGGATATCAAAAATTGATTATAAAAAATTTTATACATTTCAGAATGTACTATTATTACTAGATACTACCGACTAAAATACTTAAGTTAATATAATTAAATATAGATTTATTTAAGAATTAATTGATTATTTTCATTAAAGTTTCGACCAATCATTAAATTTCATTCATAACCTTTTGTTTATAATTTATAAGTTATCTCGGCAAAGTAAGAAAGAACGTTTTTTTCATTTCTCAGGTATTATATACGAAAATAAAAAGTTCAAATATTTATATATATTTCATCAATAAATTTGTTTATTCAACTTAAAGCTTGTTATATTATTTGAATAAAATTCTTCTTTGCTTCACACGATTAACAAGTTAAATTAAAAACAAGTTTATCATACTAAAAGTACCTTTTTATACGTAAAAAATTTTAAATAATATAAAATAATGAATTCTACCTTATATTATATTTAAAAAAAAAAAATATTTTTATTTAATTAATATACATAAGACTTTTTTTGCAATATTTAAAATTAAATCCCCAATTTGATAACTAATGCAGCACATTATTTATTATATTAATATAATATTAAGAATTTTAGATGAATATATTGAAAGTATATTTTTAGTTACATGTAATGGGTATTTGTAACATTTATATATATATATATATATATATATATATATATATATATATATATATATATATATATATATATATATATATATGTTTTTATTATTATAATCTTTATAATTTTTTATTCATTTATCAACTTATTTAATAACTTGTCTTTGTAAAATTCATGCAGTTATATGTACAAATAATCTACATTAAAATATAATTGTTCTAACAATTATTAGAAAATTAAAAGAAAAGTTTATATATTCAATGTAACTTGTAAAATAAATTAATTTTTAATTTATCAGATATAATTTAGGAAAATTTATTTTTTAGAAAAAATTTTTTTTTATCAATATATTCTCAGCTACAAAAAGATTAAATTACGCATGTATGAGTCCCCCTCCCCCCCCCTCCCTCCCTCTCTCTCTCTCTCTCTCTCTCTCTCTCTCTCTGTTTGTGTGTGTATGTTTGTTTCATTGTGTAATTATGTGACATATTGAATTGTATTGTAATCGAAGCAGTAATAACTAATCGTTCTAGAGTAAGTTGAAATTAATTAAAAATCTATTTCTTTTAACATGTAATAATAAGATTTAGAATAAAGCTCGTGTTGATTGTATATTTAAGTTTTTCAATTATCCTATTCAATGGCATAGTAAAACAATTTTACAAAAATGAAGGTGAATTATTTTCTACTTTCATCGTAAAGACAACGAAAATTGTTTTACAAATATTATCTAATTGACTAATAGTATAAGTAAAATATACCTGTGCATTAAAATTAACTTACGATTCATCATTACACATATGCCGTGCAATATTTATTGTAATGAATTTGTTCGTGACTTTTCTGTAAACCAGAACAAAGAATTCTCTTTATATGTTCAATTTTTGTGATTAATAATAGTTACTAGTTATTCTAAAAGTGAGATTTAAACTTCTTACGCCACCTGTTAGTTTACTCAGCAAATATAAGAAGAAAATAGGTCATGTTAATCGGTAAGTATAATATATGAACGCCGAGGAGCTTTTACTCATACATAATCAATACACCAATAGATACATATTTTTACTACATAAGCTTTGATTTATAATTACAAATTTATAATTACGAATTTCCAATGGAATGTCAATTATTCGTTAAAATTAATTCTTTTAATTTTAATTATATCGGAGTAAAAATATTTTGTTTTATAATGTAAATTCGTTAATATTGTACATTGTAAGTTCATCATATTTCTTAAAAAAAATAATTTGACGCTTCAGATTTTATAGATAAATGTAATGAATAAGTCATTATACGGCTTAACGAACAATTACGGTCGAATGCTTATATTTGACCAATGCATTGTTGATGATTAATTTTTGCTTTAAATTGGGCTAAGGTGACGAAAAGCTTATTATTTCAATGCTAAAACTGCCCTTAATTATGTAAAGATTAGTATGTCGTAGTATTAACGTTAACTATTCTATTGACATTTTTTTCTACTTTAGAGGGACATTAAGGCCATTAATGTTTAGAAAATAAAATAATTATTATAAAATATTGGTTATTATTTACTATGAATGAAAAGACTCATCATAATATATATATATATATATATATATATATATATATATATATATATATTACTCAATGTTTGGTATAGGAGAATCTTGATCTAATTTAATATCTTACTATTTCAGTAAAAATATTCATCTAATATATTTAATAAATTCGTTAATTTATTATCATTTAAATAAAATAAGTAAACTTAATATAATATTTGATTTGATTAACTTATATTTTACGTACGAATTAATTTGATAAATTTTAGAAATTAAAATTCAATTGCGTGTAACGTAAAAGGAATTGTATATGTATATATGTGTGTTTGTGTTTGATACAGATTGCGATATATATATATATATATATATATATATATATACGCACATTTGTCTACAATTATGTGTATATATACATTATAGTACAGTTTGATAATATTTATCAAGGGTCCCTTCTAATGTATTTATCAAAATACAAATAATATTTAATCTTATATTATTTAAAAAAATGATTGATTATTGAATTTATCAAACGATATTTCAAATTTATTATAATATTTCTATCTTTTATAAATACGAAGAAACATAATTATTCGTTTATCTATAAATAAATATTTTTCAGTTTATTAAGCAGACAAATATGGACTGCCAGTTAGTTTATAAACACTAGTTATTCGTTTAAATGAATCTATACTAGGAATATTTATTTATGAACGGCTTAAAAATACGTTAAAAGTATTCTTAATTTATCACATTATTCATTGGTTTAACGAATTATAAATTGAAATTCATGGTATAAATGTAAAATGAACGTCTGAATGTGAGTCGATGAGATATAAAATATCTCAATCAAGTTATAATATATAATAAATTAAAAATAATATTCAAAAAATTCATCAGAAACATAATTATAATATAAATAAGCTAATAAATTCAATATTCAATGCTCATTATCGAAAAGTCTGATTTCGGCAATACTATACGTATATACAACATATACGCATATGCATTCACGAATATTTATTTATTGCTAAGCTCCAATAATTATCTAAACTAGCATATTCAACATTAGACTAAATGAATGGTTTAATTATAGTTAATTTTATCAGTGTATTATTTCTTATTGAACCGTGATTATTTATTAATCTTTTTATTTTCAACACGAATATTCGTATAATTAATTACATTGGCAGTCGAGGAAAGCCGTAATTCACAAATATTGAAGTATGTTTAAATTGGATTTCATTTCCTTATTTCAATAGAATAGAGTATTTTATTTATTTTGCACTTTTAGCGACATTATTATTCTTAGGACATAATTTTATAAAATTAATATAGCGAGCTGAATTTTTAACATTTTTAACGAAAAAGTTTATTGTAATCGGCGAACAAACAAGAAAAAGATGCTTAAGCTAGGTAAATGTTTTATCAAAAAATTAATAAAATCCCCGTAGTGTACATAGTGTGGTGAGTCATAGTGCAATGTAGGATCGACGATCGCCATCGAGGTGCGCGTAAAGACTTATTTCTCACGTAAAAACGTAGAGAAAACAATAAATGAATAATAATAATAATTTTCCGTTAAAAGAAAAATGAAAAAAGAGAGAAAAAAGAAAAAAAGAAAAAAAGAAAAAAATAATAAGAAAAAAACTTTGTAGTTTATTATATTATATAAATGTCTATAAAATACCTAAATTATTATCCATGAATTTGTATAATTAATAAGTGTACAAAATGCGATACTTTTTACGTACAGATGAAAAATAAGTGTAATATAATAGTGGGATAAAGGAATAAAATCCAAATTGGCTTAGCTTGCAAAGTTTATAGCTGTCTTAACAATTAACTGGGGAATGAGTGGAACAGCTTGGGTTTAAACGTCTTGTTCTTCATTCCCCTTTCTTATTCTAGACCTCGAGCAGTATTTCCCTCTCGTGGAAGATTCTCAACACAATTGCCCTACTGAGTTAATTGAGCCCCGAACAGCTGACGTGCAGGTATTTTGTATCATTAGGTAGTTGGTATTGGCTAACCTGCAGCAGCAATTGACGTGTCTTTGCCAGTCTTGCTAGTTTCTATTCAGTATCCATATTCTGTTGTGCCAGTGTTGTGTGTACGTCGTTTGTAAATGGCGTCAGCGAAGGAGAACGTCGCCGTTGTCGAACAGAAAGTCGCCGATTTATCGGTAAATGGAAGAGAGGAATCGTCAGCGATTAAGGAACAGCAAAATGTCTTCGAGCCACATTTGTCGGGCTTCGAAATACGCGAGCTCTACAAAATCGCCCTTAACTTTTATAAAGGTAAAGGGACGGCTTGTTCGTATATATGTATTTGACAGGTGCCTCGTTATTACAGTACAGTTGCCTATAGAACATCGACAGCTTTGTTATATTATGATCGCACAATGTTTATTAATTATTTACAATTAAATTGCCTCGATCAATATCATCAACGTTCGGCGTCTTTAGATGTAGCCGTGGGCGTTATTTTGCTGGAAGGTTATTTTTATTGAAGGCAATAGGTTTTTTAGGGCAGAAATAATTTTCTGCGATATATGTTTTTGGTTTAATTAACACGATTTCGTATTACGGATCGGGGATGAAGATAGCATTGTATTTCCATCGTTTTATTATAATAAATAAATTTTTAAATTCTTACATTGTCAATATTAATGTTTGACCAAACTTGAAATTTTTCTACAATTCATTGAATGGTCGTTTAATTTTTGGTAATTGTATTGTTAATTGACCCTATTTGATCTCAATGCTTAATTAATGAACTTAATTAATAACGTAATTAATGAAAAATACGTCGTGTGGATAAAATTAAATAAAGAAAATTTTATGTATATAAAATTGAGAAATACTTTATAAATTTTTTTATATAGAAAATGCAGATTGTCTTAAAATTTGTAAATTACCTTCAGACATTTGCATATAATATAATTACATGAATTTAATACTTTTAATCACAATAGAGGAATTAAAACTGAATCTTCTTTTTTTTTTTTTTTGTAAATTTATAGCCAGCTCAACTTGTAATCATTGTAATTCTTAAAATATTTTGTTTTTTTCTTTTTCTTTTTGTTCTTATTGCACAATCTTATTTATTAAATTTTTAATATAGAAATCATTAAATAATTGTAATTATCAAATATTGTCGATATAATTATATTTTGCCAATCGATTACAATATCTAATTATATTAATAATTTTATATATGATCGTGTCAGCTAATAATTGTCAAATTTTATAAGATTTTGTACGATCGTGTCTTTTGAAGACCTTGGAAAAGAGAGAGCGATAGTGATGAATATTATTATTCAAGTAATAGTAATCACAATTTTTTAAGAATAGAAGTTTTTAAATAATTTTGATAACAATACTGAGTATTATAGTGTACAATTTGCAATGTAATAGGATATATTATAATATATTGAAGAATTTTAAATTACAAGAAGCAGCTTTTTTAAGCACATAAATAATTATATAAATTAAGCACTCATATAAAATAATAAATCTAATATTATATATAATTTCATAAATTTTATAAATATAAATTTAAGCGTTAAAATAAATAATTTAACAATGAGCTTCCATAGCATTTTTTAGTCACAGAAAAATCAAGTTGAAGATGAGAAGAAATTTTCAAATTATGCTGTATTAAATGTTTTTGCTTATATTAATTTTTTTCTTATTTTCAACTTTTGTCGATATTCTTAATAGCATTTATATTCATATTAAATTATCGTTTCTTTTAAATTGTTGTAAGTGTTTTTAAAACTATAATATGAAATTAATTAATAATCGTTTTCGTTCGTATGTTTTATCTATACATGTGGAGACTAAGATTTCAATTTATTAAAATTTTGTTTTTCATGTTGTAGAAAAAGAAGGCAAAGCTGTACACTTATCATACGAAGATAAATTAAAATTAGTAGCTTTTACGCAACAAGTGTCTCATGGTAAGTATAGCCCTGAAAAATCCCCAGAATTGGGAGTTTTGGATGTTATTGGCAGAGATAGAAAATTGGCATGGCAAACATTAGGGGATATAACAAAAGACGAAGCAATGGAGGGATTTATTGTTCTCCTAGACAAACTTTGCCCACTTTTTAAAACATTTGTGGAAGCTCAAAAACGTGATATTGAGGAGAAATCACGATTAAAGAGGGAAGAAGAAGTGCGTAAAGCAGAAGAAGAAAAGAAGCTGAAAGAATTGGAGGAAGAAAAAGAGAAGGAAGAAAAATGTCGATTAAAGCAGGAGAGTCAGCGTAGACAGATACAGGATGCACTAAATCAGCAAACATATTTTCAGTTTAAATCATATGCTGAACAGCAGTACCCTGGTAATCCTGAACAACAGGGAGTGCTTATCAGACAGTTGCAAGAACAACATTATCATCAATATATGCAGCAGTTGCATAGAAATCAGGAGGTTATAGAAGAAAAAGAGGCAGGTAAGAAACAAAATAACAGTGAAATTTTGAACAGAGAACCTGAAGAGGATCCCTTACTGTCGACCGATTTGCCTGTTTCGAATGATGAAGATTCTGACGAACCACAGGTATGAAGCTATACCTTATATTAATTCTAATTTATGATAAGATAATGAAAGAGTGATAAATATGTTTAAATTATTTAACGTTAGGAATTATTGGTTTGTATTGTGAATTTTTCTAAAATTTTGTTTTTTTACACTATACTTCAGGATTGGCCAACAATAGTACCTGCGGAAATGTGGACAAATAAAGGTGTAGAAGAATTTAAAAATACCATTAGAAGAGAAGCTGGAGATGCTGTAATTAAAGTTGGGCATGGAGAAATAGTCACTGTTAGGGTACCAACGCACGAAGATGGCTCATGTTTATTTTGGGAATTTGCTACGGACGGATATGATATAGGATTTGGAGTAAATTTTGAATGGTCTAAGCCAGAAACAACTCAAGTTTCAGTCCATATTAGTGAGTCGGAAGATGAAGATGAGGATGAGGATGACTACGAGACTAGGGAGGATTTGGAAAGTGGAGACATTACGGGGGAATCAAGGCCAGAATTTAAACCAAGTACAACCCCTATTAGCGTTATCGTACCAGTAAGTTAACAATTTTTAAAAATTAATAAATTAATATCAATGAAGAAATGAAAATATTTGTAAAATTTAATGAATTTAGGTCTACAGAAGAGATTCTCAAGAAGAAGTATATGCAGGTAGTCACCAATACCCGGGACAGGTATTTATGAATTCTTAACAGCATTATAAATATTTAATAATTTCTTATCTAAACTTATGTAAAAATACAAGTCAGTAAGAAAATATTAGTATCTTATTATACTTTTAAATTTCAATGTTTGTGGTAGTTAATATAAACATGTTTTAATATGCACGAAAATGATGTACTATTAACTAAACCAAAACATATTACTACAGTACTAATTATACACTAAATAATAATATTTTTCTTTCATTTTTAGGGTATTTATTTATTGAAATTTGATAACTCATATTCACTTTGGAGAAGCAAAACACTTTATTACAGAGTATATTACACGAGACCAGCTGTATCGAAAGAATAAAATGATTACTTTAAGTAGAACTTAAAGTCATTATAAACGTTATGTTTTAATGTATAATTGTTAAACACTAGCCACTGATGCAATTGTTTACAACGCTATGCTAGTCTGACTAACTGAAAACACTTGAACTATTTTCATGCAAGAATAAGAGTGCACTTTTTGAATAAAAAAGAAAAAATTTATATATTTATTACGTAGTCGCATAGGGACACTTTTTTTGTCAATTTACTGAAACAAGAATGAATTTTCGATATTTTTAAACATCACGGTGTGTACAATTTGATGTATAAAATACTTTATTCGTGTGACTATACATACTTGTACTGTAGATCCATTTGTATATTTCCATGTGTTTATGCACATGTGCATAGTACATATATACTCGGATGTGTGTGTGTGTGTGTGTGTGTGGGTGGGCGAATGTGTGTAAATATATAGTGAAAAAAAGAGAAGAATGTTTATGATTGAACATAGAGTGATTATATACACACGAATATAAGTGTATCAAATTCACAGACATTGTCACGTACGCACATTATAAAAAAATTTTATGAAATTGATGTAAAAAGTAACAAATGTTGCCAAACAAAAGTATTTTACTTTTTTGCTATTTATTTTCGTAGGATATTTTTGAAAATTGTCTTTTACATTTTATTAAATTAAATTTTTAAATGCTGAAAAATACGCCATATGATACACACACATATACACACACACGCTCGCGCGCGCGCGCGCGCATGCACACACACACACACACACACACACACACACACACACACATATATATATATATATATATATGTATATATATATATATATATATGCGTTTGGGTGCGCGCGCGTGTGTATATAATGTTACGATATACGTATGCGAAAAAATACAAATTTACATTAATTTCGTAAAATTGAAATTTAAAATATGTACTTTACTTAAAAAAAACTAGATGTTTTACATAATAAACGTGATTAAACCAACTTATAATGATGAAATTTTATTTAAAAATTTAAATAATTGATTACTTTAATTTACTTGATTTAAATTTTTCTTTTAACAGATAATAAGCCATTCATATATTTCTCTGTGACTTCATAAATGGATAAAGTATCTATTACAGTGGATTGACTTTTCAAATTTAAGAACACTTAAATCTTTTCAGTTACACATGAGAATTTTTACTGAGAGAAATAGGAATTAAATTATTATAAAATAACGCAATAATATATCAATTGATATGAGAAATATTAATAAGCGTTAAAAGATGTAAAATACAATAATTCGTTCGAAAATCACTGTTATAACATTCAAATACGTTATTCTTGTATAGAATTATTACATTGTATGTTTTTGAAAAATATATGCAATAAACACGATACATTTCCTATTTATTTGATATCGATAATTATATTTTCTTTAGCGCTATGAAAATAGTATATGCAGTATACTTTTAAGACTCAATGAGAGACAATTATTTATAAATTTGAAAAATCAAATTGAAAAATAAGAAATTATTCTTTATTGTATGAAATATATTAATATGCATGAATAAACTAATTTGAAATTCAATATATAATTATATAAATACAACAATATGCTATTAAAATAATTCTAATAAATTTACAATATATGCCTAGGAAATGTAAATTTTAACCTTTTTCGCAGCTTACATAACTCTACGTACTTTTATATTTATTATTTATTTTTTATATTGAAAACATGCGATAGAAATACATAATAATATTTTAATATCGAAATTACTTATAGCGAAAAGATAAAATTTAAAACAAACTATTTTAAAATAATGTATTTTGCAATGCTAATAGATATTTATGGATATATCGCTTAAAAGTAAAAGATTTTTTTTATTATAAATTTGAAATAAATTATAGTTATCGTAAAATACTTTCTTTTTCTTGTATCAAAAATTCTTCTATTAATTATTGCTTATTTACCAATATAAAAGTAACCTTTTAATTAAGAATGGTGATGATAAAAACGTACGATAATTCAGAAGTATCAATTAAATAGTTTTGTCAGCTATTTTGAGTATTTATATTTATAATTAAGAAAAAATTCTATATCAGCATTTAAAATATTCGTTTTAGCCGCTTATCTATCGTTCTTAAAGTCAGGATTTATTTAAATTAGTTGGTTATGTCCAAGTGCTTTTAATGCTTAATTCTGTTTCATTTTTTAATGAAGCATAAATTTCGATAAGGTAATTAATAAAAAAATACAATGAGTAATTTTCATTTTATATTAATTGATAAGTAATAATAACTATTTTATTTGAAATTATTATATTTTGTTTTTAACATGAAAGGCCAACATTTATGCGTGGCGTACTTAGAATTTTGAAAACGTGTTAATAATAATTATCAGAGAATTTTCATTTTTATTATGTATTTACTAATGTAGAATATGATAGATAACGATAAGATAGCATAATTTTATCGAATGTAAAATTCAAATTGCATTCTTTAACTACTATTGGTTAACTCCCCTCATAATAATTATGATTAAAATTTACTCTAATAGATAATTATTTTTCAATTGAATAAGCCAAAAATAGTGGTAAAATAAGAAGTTTGTGTAAAAAAAAAAAAAAAAATTGCGTGCATGTATTGAAATATTATTTTTTCACCAAAAGTATATTCTTTCTTTTTCATAGTTGATTTGTTCTTGGTTTAGTCTGTAAAAGTCTGTAAAATTATAACAATCTAATATTATCTAAAAAATATACTATTGTTAAGCAGTTCGTAACATCTTAAATATAGTTTATTTATGTTAAAGTATGATAGATATATTCAGAGAAAAACAAAATCTTGAACGATTCTAAATTTTCGTTATTTATATACTAATTGAAATAAATATTTATAAATGCACTACAATCAAATTGTTTCTCATATGTTTTTCATAAAAAATATTGTATAATCACTTCGTTAGATTTATTTCGAATACAATAATCTTACGTATGAAATTTTCAATATATAAATTTGCTATATATTTAATAATTCAGCATATTATGTTTGCAGAGGGCATGCTAAACTATTTCATTATATTTTATAAATTTATAGTAAATACGTGTTATGACCATATAGTATATTACCTTGTATAGTATATACTAAAATATGTTTAACATTTTAGTATCTTAAAATAAATATTTATTAGCGTAAAATTTAAATTGAAAAAGAATGTGTGTTTATTTTTTCACTTTCGGTAAATTAATAATATAACTAATTAAACAGAATGCAAATATATCGTGTTTTATAACATTTATTGAAATATGGGACTCGTATTACTCATACAATAGCATGATGTGATCAATGCTAGGAATAACAATAATAGTAATAATTAAATTATCACTAATAATTATTATGAAGTTGCTAAAATTTTGATGCACGAAATAATATTTCTCCTAAATATTTTTTTTATAATCTTCTCTGTTTAGAATAATATTTCATAGACAATACGCTTTCTATTAATTTCATTAGAAGTTAAATGCTCATATCATTTATACTTTTTGTTTTCGCCCACTTCTTGGTACAATTTATAAACTTAAAAATTCGTATTATGGTTTTAGTTTATACAAGAGCACTTTTTTAAAGACGGCATAAGTTTTCTATAGTTCTTTTTATCGCTTTCATTTTTATTTATCGATTTTACATTACATGCACATATTTGGTGCCTACTGTTAATTGAGCACGATAAACGATTTTTATTTTTAAATGTAGTAAAGCGCATGTTTGTTTTATTTTAAAAATTATACAGGAATTCGTTCATTCTTGAAATAACTATTTTTAATTAACTATTAGATAAAAGTTATGATTATATACGAACGTTTGATAATGTTTTTATAATATTAATTTATTTCAGCAGAATCATAGGTTCATAAAATTTATATGGTACTATTAATATGTTGAATAAAATTTTCTTTTCAGAATTTATATGTATATATATATATATATATATATATATATATATTCAAACATAATTTAATCAATAAAAAACTTAAAGCAATATTTAAAAGAATTAACTGAATTAAAATTGTACGTTATTTTAATCAATAATTCTTTTTTTTTGTAATTATATGTAATTATTTTACGGAAACATTTTTTTATTGAATATTATATAATATACTATGTTGTTACAACGTGATGTCGTTATTACTTTTTTTTCGAGCCCTAACAAGCTAAAAATAACACATTATTGTTATTTCGTTTTTTCTATAAACAAGCAAATTGACCGAAGTGGTACTTGCGCTGTTCGTTCTTTTTTTTGTTTCATCAATTTTTTTTTTTTTTAATTATTCAATGGTTTAGTTTAAAATATACGTACATTTAAGCTTTAGAATGCAGGATAAAACAAACTTGGTAACTGTATAAATATATATTATATAATATACGTACATGATTATACAATATTATTATAATGTAATAAATATTATATTATTTTGTAATTTATCGCGCGTGTTCAATTGTTATTACTCGCAATGAAAAATATATCCTTTAAAAATTAAAAAACCTAAAAATAAACTATTTTTTTAATAATTAAGGTACCAATTATAAAAAAAAAACTTTTTAATTAACAAATTATGAAATGGATAAGAACGAGAAAGAGTAATTTATTAATGTCCCCGGTAAAAATTATAAAATCATGTATTTAATTAAATATTGTAAAGTTTAGTTTAATTAATATTTCCCTTTATCAGATAATATTTGAAATGAGGAGAATTTGATTCTTTGTACGGGATGTGAAATATTTTTCTTTACCGAATCGTTAAATATAATAAATACACTTATACTTAAAGAAATAGCTATAAATAATAAATTGATAATGTAAAGTAAAGTTTATGGTTGTATTTTACGAGAAAAGTATATTTTAGATTAAATTATTAATTTATTTAATGGTAACAATATTAAAATAATTGAAGAAAAAATTTTTCATCACTGATTTATTATCGAATTTTATTTAACAACACTATAATAATTACAATTTTATTATAAACATTAAATGAATATAGATGTTAAGTGATAAAGATCGTATGGTAAAGAATAATATTTCTCATGACTATGACAATTGAATTAAGGGATTAATTTCATTAATCAATGAAAATAATGAAAGCTGAAACAAATTTTATTTTATTGAACATTCGTACAAATTGATTGTACAAATATTGATAATATAAAATTTCCATAGACTATTAACTATTATTAAAAATTACTTAATTTAGAAAAAAAAAAAAAAAAAAACAATTACAATTTCATACAAATTTTATATTCCCCATATATATTTCACACATGCATCGTATATGGTTTTTACATGTTATTTTTACAAAAATTTTTGAATACGTATTTTATCGGTTGATTACGTTATACAAGTCAAAAATTCGTTATTTTTCTAAGGTTCAAGGCTTGCCCATCCTTTACATCGACGATTTATAAATACGTTTTTGTATGCAAAAATTTAGTGTTGACCTAAGCGCATTCAGCATTTTTGTCTTCTTAAGCAGTTGCAGTAATCTTTCATTATTTCATATATATGTTCTCAATTATTATACAAATACTTTCAAAATTTTTTGTCTTATCGAATTTTATAAGAATATTCAACGAATTGAGGCTATTATAATGCTAGAATGTATTGCGTTACATTTACGTGACTATTGCAAATAGTTAAACTTAAATAGTTAATATTTAACGTTTAAATTTAAGTATTTTGCCATAATTTAATGTTACTATTTATTTGGCTGCGAAACAATTTCGTCGTCCTAAATGTTCTATTGTCCGAAGCACACTTATGTGGAATTTTTTTTTATTCCTTTATACGTATGCAGGTATACTCTTGATAATTTTCTCACGAAAATTACTTCTTGCTCATTGACATTGCAATGTAACTGCAAATACTTTGGATCTGTCATATTTCACGGTTAGATACAAAATCGACATAACAGAAACTATTCGAGAAAATAAACATCCAAGATTTTATTATTTTCATAAATATTTGAATAATTTGATAATTTTACGAATAAAATTGTCTCTTTCATTTTTATTGAATGCTCAAAATTTTCACAGCCGTATTTTTTTCCTAAGAAGCAGGCGCAAGCACTTCGACGCATTTTATTGTAATTAAAATTATATAATATACACTTATATACATTTATAACAAATTTTTATGATTTATGACAAATTTTTTGGATTAATTTGAAAACATTTAGACTTTGACCCAAAGGTCAATTTTCTGTTATGAGATTGCAGCAGTATTGTAACGCTTTATAAATGTATTACGATGTATGAAGTTATTATATAAAGAAAATTAAAAAAAAAATTTTTTTTAAAAACACACACACGTTGTGTGTGTTTTTGTTAATTTTTGTTTTTTGTTGTTTTATACTCATTATTGTTGAACTAGATCGTGGTTATCGTGGTTATTTTTCATACTACTAATTGTTTTCGTACATTTCACATTTTATTGTGTAGAATCTAATGGAAGTAGTGAATCATGTTCAATTCTGGCCGCAATGAATTTTATTTTGTTTGGCCCTTAAACAGGCTGGAAAACATCGATCGACATACTGAAATGCGAAACATTCAAATTTATTTGAATTAAAATTATTAAATTATTTTCATATTTAGTACACGCAAGTTGAATTTGGTCTATTTAATAAATAAATATAATACACATGTACTTTAAATATTCGTATAATTTAATAATTTTCTAAAATACACCGTCAAGCAGAATATGATTTTAATATCTAAGAAATAAGAATAAAAAGGAAAGCTTCGCATTTTCATAAAACACATATTCTTTAATTAATTCGCATATTTTTGTCGTTTAAAAAAATATTGTAAAAAATAATTTTTATGTACTTTTTACATTCCACTATAGAATGCATAAAAAAGCAAACAAAAATGAAAAATATTATTTTCTGACACCTATTACATTTATTCTTCAGTCATCAGTGGAAATTATATATTCTCAATTATTGGTAAATTTTGACAAGATTTCGATTGCCTACAATCTACCACTGAACACGTATTTTTAAATACAAATACTTGATTTATTATATCTTAGTTTGATGTTCCATCATTATTTGAATTTCTAATTGTTACGTCGTAAAATCCATTTCTCTATTATAATATCTTAATAACCATTAATAACCGATTAACAATAATATATAACAAATATTTAAATGAAATTTAGACAATTGTATTATTATAGTTGTGAGGAAAATTAATGCTTGAATGCCAGTACTTGGATTATCCTTACAGCTCAAAAATATCGATAGAATACATTTATTATACGAAACTTTTCTTTAACTACAAAAAAAATTGTATAGAAGTCCATTATCTTTATAATATTACATCGACTAATAAAGTCAAGTGCTATTGAATGAATAAAAAAACACAATGAATACTCTCGTTGAAACACATATCACACTCTCGTTGTTAAACGACTTTTATCATTTAAATGCTTAATGTGTGAATATTATTTTTCTTAAATTGTAAAAGGTCTTTCTACGTTTATAATTTTCATTACGTTCATAATAGTCAATATGTAATGTAGATTTCGGTTACTTACGAATATCCGTTAAAGGAAGCAATAAAAATAAATTATGATTGGAATAATGGAAAATTTTTATAGTAATTTTTATAAAATTTGTGACTTAATAATAAGAGGCAAAATTTTTTTTTTTTTTTAATAAATATTTATACGTGTTTGCATATAAAATTAAAAATTAAGCTTTTTGTAAAAATTTCGATTACTATACAGATTATAATAAAAAATTGTTAACGTTCTTATATTCTATACATATACGTAAATTGAATGATTTTTTATTCGATTTATTTTTTAATAAAAGAAAAAGTATTATATTTTTGAAACGTTTCAAAATAATTATCACAATTATTCGAATATAATGAAAATTTCAGTTTCTGCATATTAGGTTATAATTGTCAATATTATGCAACAAATCACTTTATTAAGATGAATAAGTTTTTAAAACAAAATACATTTTTATGTGTTTTCGCAAGAAATTAATACAATATTTTTGGGAAAGAAACGTTGCGATTAGTTTGCCAATTTTGCATTACTGAACTATTTTATTTAACGACTAAAAGAAAAAATAACATCAGTTATAAATATTATAAACTTTATTTTTTAAAACGAGAAAGAGGTCGTAAAAACATTGTTACCATATTTATAGTATTTTTTAACCAAAATAAAGTATTCTCAATGCCAAATAAGAATTAAGCTCAAAACTGATATACGAACATGAGCTTTTTCTTTAGAATATCAATGTACTCCATTACTCTTTCTTTTAGTCGTTTCGAAAATGTAAATGAATTAATGTAATAAGATATTGAAAAGTTAAATAAATCGATTGTTATCGCCTGTTACAATAGCTCAAATAACAATGAGATTGTTTATTTGCTCGACATACGATCTAATAGGCAGATCTACTAAAACTAATTTTCTTTAATCATTCCAAAGAATTAATCCTTATTATATGCTTTATTTACATTAATATGCTGAAACTTGAAGCATAAAGGCCAATTACACTGGAATATGTGAAATAATAATTATTGACGCGTTGATGTGTATTAAAAGTAAATATAATTTACCAAAGCGAGTGGACGTTTAATTGTCAAACAAAGTAAAGTTTCCTACGTGCAAGGAAAGTCATATTACTCTGATAATCCATTTAATATAAAAGATAGCGTCTCGCTCAAACAAATTGCTCATTATTCGATAAATAAATCTCGCTATGTTCACGGCAAGTTTGAATAAAATTCCAACTCTCACTTTCACTTCGAGTCGTGCGCGACTAATATTCATCTCTTCTCGGCACTGTCGTCGAGTCGCACACGACAGTCTCGTCGTCCTCCTCGGCACCCTACAACGACGTCTCAATATTAATATTCGAACGCCTGACGCCGGCTATCCGACACCCCGTGTCTATCCGATCGGTGCAGCTCTTCCTTAGTTCCCTGTCGTGTCTTCGCGATCCTGGCGTGCTTCGCCTCTCGGTCAGCGAGCGCGTCAGCCTCGACATCGTCTTGACCTAATTAAAAAAACGTGCACAATTAATACACTTAATATCCCTTACATTCACTTGATCATTAAGAGTTGCGGATGATGGATTAAGAAAATAATATAAATTCTTTAATCTCGCATCTGCATTCATTAATACAAAAGGCACAAATACAGATTCAGCTCTAGATTATTATAATTACTGATATAATTAAAACACGAACTTTGTTACGAAGTCGTGGGGCGTCTAAAGTATTTCCTCCTATTATTCAATAGCACAAACTTTATTATCACGTACTCCTCCTTGTTGCTCAATTTTATTATTCTACGGTACTACATCCCAAATCTTACCACTTTTTACGATTTTCTACATTAATTAGACTCTTAGACAATATTTCGGCAAAAGTGTTGGCGAGCTATAATTACTTTATATTCGCATTAAATAAAACATTCATAATAAGTACCTACCTTATTAAATGCAATCAGTTTTATGAATAAAGCAGTGGCTGCTATTCTATATATATATATATATATATATATATATATATATTAACAAACTCATTAGCTTGACTCGGCCGCTTTCGCGCGAAATCCATCAATTAGCAACGAATTATAAAAGGCTATTATATCGGAGGCAAAATTAAGTAGCGTCTTAGAGCAAGGATATACACAGGCATGTATACGCACGCGCGCGCGCTCGCACACACACACACACACACATATATAAACATTTGAAAAAGCGTGTCATCAGGCGACAACACGTGCGATAATAACGAGCTTACGGACCCCTTCAGTTGTCCCATGCGTTGCGGCGACGACTGTGACCGTGGCTGCAGCGACTTCGTGTTCCGTCGATGAAGTCGAGGATCTGGTGGAGAGCTCGTCGAGCCTGAGGAAGGGACAACGTTCGTCGGTCGAGTGACTGGCAGTGCTGCGGGAATCTACGGGCACGGTGAGCCCGTCGTACGAGGGAAGCGATATCGTCGTCTCGGTGCGGCTCGTTTGGTTGTTAGTGGAGCTGCGGGACCGAAGGCTAGATTAAATCGAATAATTTAAAGTTGCAACGATGCAACTCGTTAAAAACGTGTCGAGAGGGTGGGACGGGAAGGGTGGTCTTGGAGCCCTTTCGTACGGATGCTCCAAAGGTTTTCGAAAATTATTCGATTCGTGTCTCTTCGTCGTAAATTATTTATAACTTTCTAGGCTGCTTGGGATGAGATTGAGCGAGTCTTTTTTTTTTTTTTTTTAAGGGACTTGGACAAAGCAGAGAATTTTGTTACCGTATGTGAAAATTTTTGTTATGTATTTCTTGGCTTTTATATGATAAGCAGAATCATAAGCCAGAATTTGGTTGCTTTTACAATTGAAAAACCATAAAAAAAGTTGGATAAAGTAAATGAATAGGCCAGCTTAATAAATGGATTGCCGAACAAAGAAATGATGTATTCAATTATTTGTAAGCAAATATAAAAAAAAAATCATTGAAACTTGCATTGAAATTTGCGATTGGAAAAATGTTATAATAGAAATAGGTATTGTTTTGTTTACGACAAATTAATCATAACTGTAGCTATAGTAGACGTTTGGTTCTTTTAAAACATTTTTAATAAATATAAAAATGAATTCCTTAAAGTTTAAATATATTGAAATAATTTTGAAAACTTAAGGTTAAAAAAAACATAGAGTAGCTTTACATTTTTACGACCTATGACTTTTAAAGTTAATAAATATTAAATAAATATAAATGATAACATTTTATTTTAAAATTAACTCAAATTAGTTTAGATTTCATTGTATACAAATCCCTAAATATGACATAGTAACTCTGTTTCATTTAAATAACATTTAAACAACATTTAAATATTTTAACGATTGAAATAAAATTCTAATTATTCATGTGATGATCATTTTGTTTCATTTCTATTATTGTTTTTTTTTTTTTTTTTTTTGGTTTTATAACAGCCAGCTTCATGTGAAACTTAAATTATTGTAAACAATTATTAACGTTGCTAGAAACTTATTTAACACTAACCGATTGACTGATCCAAAACACGAGAATATTGAAAAATAAAAAAGAATATTTAACTTTTGTTGAATACGGGAAAAAGAGCTTCTATGTATATTTAAATACCTAGTTTGATTCAATGTGGTTGACTTAAATACAAATGAATAGGTTGTATTATTATTTTTTTGTTTATACTAAATTTATTTATCCTATACTTTCAGAAATTTAATATATTTTTGTTATAAATTCCGTTACGTCTATTGTATACTAAATTTCCATTAATTTTTAGCGAATTTAATAAATTATTGCATAATAATGTGTCAATTATAAAATCTTGGGCTATTGTCAATAGCAATTAGTACGGATTGATAAATCTATACAATTCTTTTATATAATTACATAAATGAAGACAATAATATAAATATCAAAATATTAATAATAAGGTACTATTGATTGATAAAACGAACTTGAACTGTTTAAGTCTTCACTTAAAGGGCATAAAATCCTTAAAGTTTAATATTGCTATTAAAGAATACAGATTTTTTTCCCAATAATTTCATTATCCTATTAACGAAAATCTTATATAAGCACAATAAAGATAATAAATTACAATGGTTAATATACGTATATCAATTATTATCACAATTAATTAATCTGTAATATATATATATATATATATATATATATATATATATATATATATATATTGTAGTTACAGGTTTATAGAATTTTAATGTGTTAATCATAGGTGTATTGTCGGATGACCTTTGTCACGCGACTTGTTCATGCATTATCGACTATATTATTGGTCATGTATCAATGAAAATACTAAAAATAATAATAATAATAAGCTATTTTTTCCCCTGAGATTTGTCATAATTAAATGTAATATTGAGGGTGTAAATATGTAAGAATCTCTTGAAGAAATATTATAATAAATTTTTGTTAGTGTTGTACTTACTAATTACATTCATATTGTTTCCATTTTCAGCAAATAAGTGTTACGCTGATTTATCGAGCGATTTTTTTGATTTCAATGTTATTTACACAATAATTTAACACTTCATAGTTGCATCTTGGAGAGCGAAAAATTGATTGATTTTTATGCAATTTCAAAGTGTTTTGGGTGCTGCAATTCCTTGGCTTTATAAATTCATTGATTTTCACAATAGTGACTCAATAGTGAATATTTAAATTAGCAAAGTGATAAGCCTCGGCGCATAAGCGGCGTGTACCTGAAAGAGGCCAGAAATTGAGGATCCGTGCTTCTGGTGCGTCGGTGTTTCCATGCGCGATTCGCTTGCGAACTCGAGGTAGGGGAAGTTGCGGCGGTCGCTGACGACGAGGTCGAGGAATCCCGATCGGTGAGTGAGCGACGGAGCCGTGATAGGACAGGCATATTCAAGGCCTCTTCGTAATTCGGGAGATTCTCACTCTGTACGACATTGCGACCCCCGAACGGATCTGACGGACAAACCATTTGGATCGGACTCGCGAAGATCAAAGTTCTGTGAAGAATAATTGCAAATGAGTTTGACACACGGCCCACTACGTATAAGCCACTTTTCCTTTGGTTTTTCTTAGGCTATCTATATTTTCCGGCTTTATGACTAATTGAAACATTACTTTATAATGATCGATGCGAAGCTCAGCTATCTCGAATAAGTAATAAATCAACTTTATTATGGCATTGTGAATAGGATCGATTTTTATATTAATGGCAGAATTTCAATAAAACATAGTCCCAAAAGGGTGCAAAGCGTAGCGGATGATCGATCGATGTATTGCAGTAGTTTTGCACCAATACGCGTTTGTGTTAGTGTCCCGAAAATTTTGCAGACCTACGGTAATACTCGAAATGATTTAATAATATTGTGCACAATAAGTTTGAATCGGCAAAGTATCCATATAGAGCTAATATTATGCCACGACATTTCGCAATGCGCATTAATTTGACATTGCAAACTTAAAATGTAATTATATAATTATACACGATTATAGCTTTTAAATAAATATCCGACCGTTAATTTTATTTGAAAGTGACGAATTATCTTCGTAACCGAGGCTTTAATTAGTTCTGCTGGGATAGACTTTTAACCTGCTATTAATATTTAATCCTTGGTTATACTTGAGCATTGAAATTAAAATTCAAATGAAAATTTAACTGAAATTTGAGCATTCAAATTTATGCATCTTAATTTAAGTAAAAGTTTATACGAAATGTGCATTAAATGTGTATGACCGTGAAATTAATTCGACCTTAGTAATGTTGCTATATGCAGTGCAGTGCATACATATACTATAGATAAACTATTTCACGGGTGGATACGTCAATCTAACCTTGCGCTAAACTTTCAACATTAACGAGAGAACAACATATAAGATTGTTTGAGCTGTTACGGCGCTCAAGCACGCAAATAGTGCAGTGAATATATTTTTCCTCTTGGCCAAGGAGGTAGACTGTAAGTTTGACTTTTAGCTCGAGTGGAAGAGTTGTAACGAACGAAAATTTATGATCAAATCAAGCGAGAAGGTAGATTTATATTATATTCGAAGAGACAATCTTGGTCTCTAATCACCATAATAAAATTTTTAGAATTCTAAAGTAAGGCGTAAGTCATTCATTATACGAGAGGAGCAACTTTATCGAGAGAATAGTTTTTAAATAAATTTGAAGAAAAAAAAAAATCAAACAAACAAAAAAAACAAATAACGTGCAAGGAAAGAGAAGTATTTTACTACTATGCTTTTGCATTTCACATATCTATAAATTTACCCTCGTTACTAATCGAATAAGTGTATACATGATTTTATATTTTAAAGCCGAATGTTCCAATC